TGAGAACATAATATATATATATATATATATATATATAGTAATAGGTTTTAAATTTTTTATTGAAAAAACATAACTTTTTTTTGTGAACATAGAGTATATACATTAATGAGTTTCAAATCTTACATTAAAAAAATATAATTTTTTTATTATAAACATAGAGTATATATACTACCGGATTTCAAATCTCACTTCAAAAAAATATAATTTTTTAATTATGAACATAAAGTATATATATTAATAGTTTTCAAATCTCACATTAAAATGCTACTATGTTATCTTTTTAAGTTGAAGTATTTAAACTAAAAGATTTTTTATTCCACATTTAAGAAAACATAATTTTTTTCTTCAAAATATAAAAATATATACTAATAAGTTTTAAATTTTATATTTAAAAATAAAACCACTAGGTCTCATTTTAGTCACATGTTGGCTTACTAGGTACACCAAGTTTATCGAGTTATTATACTGGCTTATTTTTTAATTATTTGAATCACTTTAACCCTTAAATCAATCGATTTCCAAATTAATCTCTAAAATCGATCGGATTTAATAAATGATAAACTAAATTTATTGCGATGTGTTTTTGCCTATGATTTTAGGTTTTTCTAATATGTTTTGTTAATCCGGAGGCAATTTATATGCTCAAACTCTAACAGTTTTTTAGATAAGGACAGTTAAGTAATTTACTTAGCTGTTGTTGTCTTGTTACCGTCCGCAACAAATATTGATAATGTCATGACGTACTAAGCCAACGGCTCTAAACGTGTATGGAGCAACTCCCGTTCACTGAAGATGACCCGACTACAAATTCCTGATGCTACCCGGGGAAGCGGCACCCGACACCCCGTCTACCGCGGTGTCCGAAAACGGAGGTGGGGAAAATGGGTGTCTGAAATTAGAGAGCCACGCAAGAAATCACGCATCTGGCTAGGCTCATTTCCTGTGCCAGAAATGGCAGCCAAGGCATATGATGTGGCAGCGTATTGTCTTAAAGGTTGTAAAGCGCAGCTCAATTTTCCTGAAGAAGTCGATGATTTGCCTATACCGTCCACGTGTACGGCCAGGGATATTCAAGCAGCAGCAGCAAAGGCAGCACATTCGGTACTGATTCCAATGAAAAAGAGCAGCGAAACAAACAGTGGTGGTGGCAGTGACGGTGAAGTTGCTGGTGATGATTTCTGGGGCGAGATTGAATTGCCGGAATTGCTGCTGAGTAATAGCGGGTACAGTTGGGATTCTTGTGGATGGAATACTACTCTTGCAAGTGATAATTCAACGTGGCAGCCGGATGGAGAGGGTCTACAGCCATCCATGGCATGTCTTTAATGTGCCTACATTAATTCCAGGCAAGTAGTAAATCTTCATGTCCTTTAAAATTGGCTGTGTTAATCCTCTCTCTCTCTACACACACACACACACACGGGTGTGTGTATGTTTTTTTTTAACAGTTAAGTAATTTGTTCTAATAAACTGAAGTGGCCCCAATAATTGTGAGTTTACCTATTTATACAGCTTACTTTCCTCAAATTGAGATCGTTTTGGCATCATACATGTGCTGAATGAGGTTTATGCAGAGGCGTTCCCCTCCTAATGAAGATGCTCTTGGTGGATGTAGATGCTGTACTAGCTATCATATACATCAACCTCAAAGCCAATTTACTTGAGTTTTTTAACGTGCAGTCATCGTATTCTCGGGGTAATGTTTTCTCTGGTTCAAATTCTTAGAGCAGTTTAGTGCATTGAAACAAGCCCTTCTCAGAACCGAAATATTCATGGAAGTCACTGTTTCATACGTGGTTTCTTTCCAGATTTAAAACTTAAAATAAATGGTAGAGTTCAATTTTAATGAAGCTTGTATTGACTTACCAGGTTCTAACCTGTATTGCAGAGGAACATGCGAGGGATAAATTGACACACTATAACTTTAAATTAAACATGTTAAATGGTACCCCCGCTTAGATTGCTAGCTCTTGATGTAGAAATGTCTGGTCCCAGCAGAGAGGTTAGGAGTCGCCTCACAGTAAGCACAGTGCAATTTCTTCTCGAGACCGATGTTTTGTCAAATTCGCGGTGCTAGAAAACAAAACCATCACAATAGACGGGAATATTCTTAGTCTTCAAAAGATTAATTTTGTTTTTCTTACTAGTAGACTGGGGAAATTAAAGATAACGTACCTTTACAACCTCGCCAACCAAACCAGGCTATTTATGTTCGGTTAGCGAGGGACAAGCATGGCGATACTTTATTGACATTGGCTGGCTATGGTGCGTAATCTCTCCTCTCAAGGCTCAAGCAAGAAGAACGAGGTCAAACCATCTAGGTGGTGGCCAAGTGGTAAAGACTTGGGATTAAGGGGTTTGCTCCCTCTGTGGTCTCAGGTTCGAGTCCTTGGTTGCTCATATGATGGCCACTGGAGGCTTACATGGTCGTTAACTTCAAGGCCCGTGGGATTAGTCGTGGTGCGCGCAAGCTGGCCCGGACACCCACGTTAATCTAAAAAAAAAAAAAAGAAGAACGAGGTGAGAACCATCTAGGTGGTGGTCAAATGGTAAGATCAAGAGGTTTGTTCCCTCTGTAGTTTTAGGTTCAAGTCCTTAGTTGCTCATATGATGAATTTTAGGTTCGAGTTCTTAGTTGCTCATATGATGGCCACTGGAGGCTTATATTGTCGTTAACTTCAGAGTCCATGGGATTAGTCGTGGTGCGTGCAAACTGACCCGAACACCCACGTTAATCTAAAAAAAAAAAAGAACGAGGTGAGGTGGTGATTATGTGGTAAGAACTTGGGATCAAGGAGTTTGCTTCCTCTGTAATTTTAGGTTCGAGTTCTTAGTTGCTCATATGATGGCCACTGGAGGCTTATATTGTCGTTAACTTCAGAGTCCATGGGATTAGTCGTGGTGCGTGCAAACTGACCCGAACACCCACGTTAATCTAAAAAAAAAAAGAACGAGGTCTTCGGAACGAGCATTAGCATGATTTGCAGAATGTGGATTTTACTGGGCTGTGGCTGAGGTAAAGATAAACAGCAGATCGGCAAATTGAAATGCAATCTTGCTCTGATTGCAAGGAAGACAACAAACAAGAAGTTATTCGCCGTCTCAATCCAGTATGCATAGCAAGGAAGACAACAAACAACAAGTTATTCGCCGTCTCAATCCAGTATGCGACGGACCACTCGCCTTTTGTTGTATGCTAGCCCTTTATTCAAGTCCTGGACATTTTGGATTCTTGGGTCATTAATTACATAAAACCAAAGTTGTTTTTTTAATCTTGACGTTTTTATTTATTTTATATTAGAGATTTCTTCTTTAACAAGGGAAAGATGAATTTTCTTTTTATAAATACATTGGAAATAAAAATTACTTATATAAAATATGAAAGAAAGAAAAGATAAATCACTATAATCTTTTTGAAAGATGATCAAATTAAAAAATAACTACTAATTTGAAAGTGTCCGGTAAAAGTGTTTTGGAAAAAAAAATGAAGAGAGGGTGCTATTTAACTTTTTTTTGGCATTTTGTTTATCAAAATATTTCTTTGTTGGACCAAAACTTTATGAGAACCATAAAATAAAATTTTAATAAAAACTAATGTTTTTATAATAACATAGATAAAGTTAATTGTATTATTTATTATATGTCATTAAATAAAAAATTACATTAATTAATAATATATATGGATTATATATGTTTTCTTATAAAATATTGTTAATAATTAAATTGAATATATAAATAAATGGATGATTAAAATTATTCCAAAAAACTAAGCTTAAGAAGAAAATGAAGATAGATCATGAAAGGCTAGAAAAAAATTGATCAATAATTTTATTAAAAAAATATTATATTAATATCAATATTACAAAATAAAATTTTAAATATATTGAAACTTTTTATTTCAAATCTTTAATAAAAAAGTAAAAAATAGACTAAATGATCAGGCTAAATGACCCAACTCTTGGTCTATTGAGAGATAAGAGCCTCATGCGTGGGCCTAGAAAGCCCAGCATGCTTGTCCTGGTCTCTTATTTCTTTTCTTTTCTGTTTTTAATAATTTGAGATGTTATCTATAATTTTACTTCCATGCATCATATTATCTGTCCATTTAGTTTCTTGCCACTAAATGGATCAAGTTTTTTTTTTAATCTAAAAATTAATTTTTAATCTATTTTTATTTAATGAGCATCCTTTTAATGTCTATAATTCAATTTAACAACTCAAAACACTCTAAAATTCATTAAAAACACACATAATAAAGCCTGAAAAAAAAATCTCTCAATTGTAGTTTATTTTTTTCAGCAAATTAAAAGGTCAAAATACACCTTCATTGAATTGATCTTGAGAAGAGGAATGCATTGACACAGAGATCTTTCATTTTGGTTCACGGAATATAGTCAACGGATAATTTTATATCTCCTTCATGTTTTTTCTGGCAAGGTCCTTCCTAGCATAGGGACTTAGAAAAATAACAAAATTAAATGGTTTGGATTAAAATGACATATTGCGTGATTTTTATATTGACCGTGTGGTTTCCCTGCTTTTTACATTTTGATTTTTGATTTTTTATATTTTAAGTTTTTTTTTTTTTATGGATTTCTCCTATCAATCATTAGGTTTTTTATCTTTTAAGTTTTGTTTTTTTTATTTTTATGGATTTCTCCTATCAATCATTAATTGAGAGGTAAAAGGTCCCGATTGAAAAAAGAAAAAAAGAAATAGAGACTAATGACAAAAAAGGTGATAAAAGGTCCCGATTGAAAAAAAAGAAGAAATAGAGACTAATGACAAAAAAGGTGAGGTGATTGAATGTTTATATATGAATAATATTTCCTTAAATTACTAATATATTTATATAGAAAATAATGTTTTAGGATATATTAATTTTATATATTAGCGCATATAATATTTTAATTTAAATAATATCGCTAGAAAATACATTTAAATACAAAACATGTTATATTATACAATAATCATATATTTTAAATCATATAAATTGTGTTGTAAAATTAGAATACTATAAAAAAAATTATTTTTAATTTTCTCCAAGTACCAAAAAATGATTATATGTATATAACATTGTATTTAAAATATTTATATTATGTGTATGGTTAGATTTAAAAAAAAAACTATATATAAATATATGACATAATAAATTATTTTTTATCATTACACTTCTTTTTATTTTTATATCTCATTCTTTTCTTGTAAGTAGTCAAATAGTTACATTTAATGTTCTATACATGTTAAATAAACCTGAAAAAAACCATTAAAACTTTAAAAAATAATTTTTTAATTTATTTTTCATGAAAAACATTAAAAAATATTTTTAAATTTATCATTTAAAAATAATTTACTTTCTATATAAGCCGCTTTAAAAAAAACTACATTCCATCAAATAAATAAATACTAAATTACGATAAACAAATTATCCATTTTAACATCATGGATCTACAAGTTTTGGACTAACAATAAGAGCTTGGACTCGACTATTTAGCTCAGGGCCTAGATAGCCGGCCCAATTAAACTCCCCTCTGTTCTCCGAGTTCTCTCCTTCAATCCCACGAAACGGAACCATCCATCGTCCACCAGAATAAGGCCCAGCCAGTCTACCACACTCTGTCTGTCACTCACGGTCAGAAACCCTCCAAAATTCTCTTCAAAAAATCCCTTACTTTTCCCTCTCTAGCCATTTCACTTTCCTCTCTCTCTCACACACACACTCTAATTTTCGCATTTCAATTTCTCAAAACCCCAGAGAGCTGCCTACACTCACAAATTCTAAAAAAATTCCCAACCACATCATGGAATACAATCCAGAGTTCCTCTCTCGATGTTTCCTCCACACACTCTCTCCACAACCCAAACCTCGCCGCGCCGCCGAATCCAAACTCACCGAACTTGCCAACCACCCCAACTACGCCCTCGCTGTCCTCCGCCTCGTAGCTGAACAGTCAATCGACGAACAGATCCGCCACGCCGCCGCTGTCAACTTCAAAAACCACCTCCGCTCCCGGTGGGTTCCATCTCTCGATTCCTCCTTCACTCCAATTCTCGACTCCGAAAAGGACCAAATCAAAATCCTTATTGTCAATCTCATGCTCTCATCTACTCCTCGAATCCAATCTCAGCTCAGCGAATCGCTCTCTCTTATTGGACAACACGATTTCCCTAAATCCTGGCCCACTTTGCTGCCTGAGCTCGTGTCAAATCTCCGAGCCGCTTCGCAGTCGAACGATTATGCTTCAATTAATGGTATTCTCGGTACTGCTAATTCCATTTTTAAGAAGTTTCGTTATCAGTACAAAACGAACGATCTCTTAATTGATTTAAAGTATTGCCTGGATAATTTCTCTTCCCCGTTGCTAGAAATGTTCCTCAGGACAGCGGCTTTGATAGATTCCATGGTT